AGAGAGTGGTCTCTTCTAAAACTTTACAGCCTCTGAAATTCAGTGCAGGGTTGCCATGAAAAAGAACTGACTCAGGGGTAGCAACTTTTTTTTAAAAAAAAAAACCACAAGCATTTTGTCGTAGGCTTCTAACTGAAAGGACGGCAGTTCAAAACTACCCTGAAGCAAGCACTGCAGAAGAGAAACCTGGCAGCCTGTTTCTACAGAAGACAGCAGCCAAGAAAGCTGGACAGAGCCCAGCTCTACTCTATAAAACATGGGTCATAAGTCCTAAGTCAGAACGGACTCCACGACAGCAGGCTTGGTTCTGGGAACCTCAGCAATGACACTTTCTCTGAGACATCTGTGATCTGGGCAAGTGGCCCTCAAACTGAGGTGAGTTGCCCAGCCCACACAGGTTGGCTCTACCCACCAGCCTTCCTGGACCCCAGCATTGACCACCTTTTCCCTTTCCTGCAGAATTGCTCACAAGGGGTGAGACAGGTCAAGGAAATGCAAAGCAGAAGTGATTTTCAAAGGCCTGTGTCTCTGCTTTTCCCCTAAATTGGAAGCTTCTTCCTCAAGAAACCTGGGAGCTTGGTGTGCCATTCCTAGGCTGGGAGAGGCAGGCTGACCCTGGCCACAGCCACAGAGCCGAGAACTGTAAGAGAAGCTCCTGATGAGGCCTGTGTTGAGCTGGAAAGACAGAGATAAAGCAGTAACTCAAAGGGGTCTGGTATGGAAGCCCATCTGGGATGAGGCACAGAGACAGGAGTCTGTGTTACCCAAGAACCATGTAAAGAGGCGTCAGAAGCTCAGAGGTGGCAGCTGGTAGTTGAAGGTATGTGTGGATGGGGAGAGCTCTGTTGCCTTCCCCTCCCTGCATGGTTTGGAAGGGATATGTTGTTAGTGGAATGAAGAAGGTGAAGCTTTTAAGACCAGTGACTTCAAATTGGTTGTTTTGGAGGAAAATAAGCCTTATCTGCTCATTATTCTACAAGATTCTGTGGGACTTAGTCTGTTGATCTGACAGAGAAGACAGATGAGCACTCCTTTCTAGGGACACACAGCTAGGGGGATACCAACACCCATCTTTCTCCTCTTCCTCTCTTGCCTCAAGGGTTGAAATGATTACATAAAGTGAAGACTCTTTCCTCACCTGTTTCTGAGGGAAGGGTGAGAGGGTAGCTAAGGGATTAGCTTGTTGTTCTGGACCATCAGGTCGGAACCAACTCATAGCTGACCGCTCTGGTGCGTTTTCAGAGGCTGTAAATTTGCATGGGAGAAGACTGCTCATCTTTCGACTGTGGAGCAGCTGGTGGATTAGAACTATCTTCGGGAGAAGGAAGGGCAATCTCCTCCTGAAAGATGAACTGCCTCTGAAAACCTGTCTGAGGGTCAGCTATGGGTCGGTTCCAACTTGACAATACACAACAACAATCTTTAGGTTGGCAATGTAACTTCTTTCTTATCCATTAGGCCACCAGAATTCCCTAGGGATTAACCGGACAAGCCCACAACCAAATAAATTCACTGCTGTTGAGTTGATGCCAACTCCTATCAATCCTACAGGATGGCACAGAATCCTATGGCACTTCCAAGGCAGTGTGTCCAAGCAGTGACAGGGTGGCACAGGGCTGGCCAGTGCTTCATTCTGTTGTACGTAAGGGTTGCTATGAGGACTCAACAGCTCAATATTGAGGCAAACATCCACATCTTTTCCCCACAGAAGCTAGTGGGTTTGAACTGCTGAGCTTTGGGCTAGCAGCCGCTAGATATACCAGAGCTCCTTAGTTCCCTAAAATCAGTAAATCGTAGAATTTATACTCTCCAGTTTCAAAGTTTTTAGTATTATTTTGGTGTTTTTGCTTAGTTATATTTCATCTGGGGGCCAAGGGGACTGTTAGTCTCTAGCTTTCTGACTTATTTTTTGTCACGACATCCATTCAAAACAGTTATGCTTGTTCGCAGACTAGTATGAAGTGGAGAGTGCTCAGCGCTGGAGCTGAGCAGCCCAGAGGCTCTGGCCGCCCCCTGGCATCTTGAGAGATGAAGGCATGAGCAGCTCACAGCACAGAGTTAGGAAGATCCATCTGGTCAACCAATAATCTCATCCATTATAGACATGGGACAGGATCTAGGTGGGCAGACAGTCTGTGAGAGTTTAATGGGCAGGAGATGATGTTGAGAATATGGAAGGATGCATTTATTTCCATGACAGGTGATGGAGAACTCCCACATCTCCCCATCTACATTAGAGGCAGACCTCAAGAAGGAAATGATCTGGACAATGTTTTAATATTGGTTAAAATGGTGCTTCTTAGCCTATGGGTTTGTTGTGGATTTGCCTATTTCCAGTTTCAACAAATAAAAGGATGAGCTGCACTGGAAAAAGCTGCTGTCAAGGACCTCTCTGAAGTGCTAAAGGGCAAAGATGTCAGTTTAAAGTCCAAAGTGTGCCTGATCGAAGCCATGGTATTTTCAATTGCTTCCTATGCAGCTGAAAGTACAACAAGGAATAAGGGTGACAAAATATCCCAAGGACAGCCAAAGGAACAAACAAGTCCTTAGAGGCAAGGGTGTTGAAAACATCACCTCACATACTTTGAGTTTGTTGTCAGAGGTATCAGTCCTTGCAAAAATACATCATGCTGGAAAAAGTTGGAGAAAAAGAAGACCCCCAATAAGATGGATTGACACAGTGACTGTAACTATGGGCTTGAACAACTCAGATGTAAGCGTGGTGCAGGATGGGGCAAGGTTCAGATGTGCTGTTCGCAGGTTCATTAGAACTTAGCAACACCTAACAATAACAACAGTTTCAGGGGAGCTCTGGTGGCCTAGTGGCAAGAAGCTGCATTGCAATCCCAGAGGTACATGGTTCGAATCCACCAGATGCTCTGCTGGAGAAGGAGGAGCAATATCCTCCCATACCAGTCAGATCTGATTTGACGGTACACGCGCACAAAATAACAATAAAAAAAAAACAAACTCCCCAAAAGCAATAACAACAGTTTCAGTGTCTTCAGAGAGTTCTGCACAGGGAAACCTTCTCTTGGGTTTTCTGTGACTGGGTCAGAGACTGAAGACAAGGAAGGAAGGCCACCTCCTGAGAAATGAAGAACATACAGACAGAAGCAAGGGTGGTGGGGAAGGGAGCCCACTGAGAACATTCCGGCATGGACTCCCTCACCCTAAGACACGAATGGCTGCCCTGATCGGTGCCTGTAGAAGGCAATGTTAGCACCCCAAGTCCACACATTTAGCACCTACCTATGCAGGGTCTAGGGGCCCTGGTGGTGCAGTGGATTAATTTAAGTCTGCTAACCCAAAGATCCACAGTAGGAACCCACCATCTGCTCTGCAGGACAAAGATGAAGCTGTCTGCTCCTGTTAAGATTCACATCCTTAGAACCCCTATGTGTAAGACAGTAGATGCTCTTAGGGTTTTAGCTTCTGTTAAGGTTCCATCTTTGGAAACCCTGTGGATCAGTCTTACACAACAGAGACGTCCCATTGATTTCTGAAGGTATAATCTTTACTGAAGCAAACACCTATTTTTCTCCTATGGAGCTGGCCAGTTAGTGCCTAGAAATACTGACCTTTTGGTTAGCAACCAGACTCAACCTCTGTGCTACCCAGGCTCTTCCCCAGGTATGAGAGATCCTCAAATGACTAAAAAATGAGAGGGATTAGGGGTTCAGGCCTCTCTTACATAGAGAACCAAGGCAGATTCATGTAGATTTGTTAGTATAGAGGGGCTTAATGAATTTAGTAGAAATAAGTGTTGACTCTGTGTTAGTCCTTAGGTTTCTCAAATGGTTTCCTTTTCTCCTTGTGATTTTCACTTTATTCTGATATCAAAGGTATCTTCTTCCCTCTTGAAGGTAGTGTTATTGTAAATTCTTGCACTCAGAAGACCTTACATGCATAAGATCTTTCTCTCCTGTCATTACTGTAAGGTACTGTTTCATAACTGTCTCTCTCTCAGACTCCACACTACATTAAATAGGACTATGCAGTAATCACTGATGTACCTTTATGCCTAAAACAGTCTGTTATGTCTACAAGTTCTTCAAATAAGCAACTGTTTCATAAATTAACAGTAAGAACTAACAGGATGTATACAAGCCCCACTTTACAGGTTGTTGTTGTTATGTGCCGTCAAGTCGCTTGCGACTCATAGCGACCCTATGTACAACATCCCTAAACTCCGCTCTGTCCTGTGCCAATCGCACTGTCTCCGGCACACCCATCCCGATTAACCCAGTCACTGAATCAATCCACCTCATAGAGGGCCTTCCTCTCCTGTGCTGTCCCTCCACCCTCCCAAGCATGATGCCCAATTCCAAGGACCTGTCCCTCCTTACAACATGTCCAAAGTATGTTAGACGGAGCCTCAGAATCCTTGCCTCCAAGGAGCCACCCAGTTTAACCCTTTCCAGGATGAATCTGTTTGTTTTCCTAGCAGTCCATGGTACCCTCAACACTCTTCTCCAACACCAAAGCTCAAAGGCATCAATTCTCCTTCTATCCTTCCTAGTCATTGTCCAACTCTGATGCATAGCAACTGATGGTAAAGACCATGGCCTATATCAGGCACACATTAGTCTCCAGAGAGAGACACCACTGTTCTTCAGAACTTTGGAAAGGTCCCTAACAGCAGACTTTCCCATCGCAATACGTCTTTTCATTTCCTGGCTACTGGTGCCAAGAGTAAGGTAAGGTAAGGTAATGTAAGAAAAATTGGGAAAGGCCAAAGGACGTGACTGAGAATGTGGTCAAGACCTGAACCTCCATCCAAGTGATTTCAAAGCCAGAAGCTGCAGCTCATGTATAGACAAACACCCAACAAATGCTGACTGACAGAGTCACTGCCCCTCAGCAGCTCTACTTCATCAAGCTTTGATATCATGAGATTATGAAAGAATCAATGCTATATGTTATTAATTATCAATAATTAAACATGCAAACAGCCCACTCTCAAGGAAGCAAGGGGCATGGGGCTCTTGGCAACCTACCGGCATAGTGGTAATTTGCTAAAGGATGGCATTTTAACCTGACTGGCTTCCGAAGCAGCAGCATTTCCAGAGCAGCCTGCAGACCCAGGAGAGACACAAGGTGAGAATCAATTAATAGAGCTGGAGTCCCAGGGACACCATCTGCTCAAAGAAAGGAGGGAACTGATTAGCACTTGAAGGCCCAGAGCCCACTGGAAGGAAAACCAGGCAGTCTTCTCTCCTTGGGGTTTCCTATTCTTGGCACCCCGTAGTCTCCCCTAGTCACCATGCTTATAGCAAGTTGATTACATCAGAGAATGACAGAGGTGGCAGCAGAGGCTAACTCCCTCTTTAGTGAGGCCTCTAGCCTCTGAGATGGGGAGGGGGTATCCTCTGAACAAAGGCGGAATCTCTAGGGAAGGGCTCCAAGGAAATGAGTAGGTGCGTTACGAGTGATATTATTTAAAAAACAAAACACACTTCATTGTAATTCAATAAAAACAGCTGATTTCATAATAGCTGTAGCACAAATGTACTTCTAGCCTTGATAAACCCTTTCAAACCCCTTTCTGCCTCCTTGTAATGTTTCTCCTTCTGATGTGAAGGGCAAGGCTTTGAAAAAGCAGTCATTCTCATTTCCCAAGACAGACACACTCACAATGAAAGCTGTGGGAAAAGATGTGCAAACGCAAGTTCAACAGGATATTTTTCCACAGGCATTTAAATTTTGGCCTATTCAATGAGGTCAGGAGAGATGACATGGAGTCAAAGTGATGAAATAATCAACTCATGAGTTGGCTGTGTGTTCTGTGGAACAATATAGAAACCTAGAAGAATACTTTTCAGAACTCTGACATGGTGGGGAAGAACTGTGAGCCTGCTTCTCATGTTTCCTTACCATCACGTCCCCTTTGGCCTCGAAGAGAGTGTGCAAAGCAAATTCAGAATTGGTCCCTCCACCTGGCAATGCACTTGAACAGCATAAATTCAGGAGATTCTCCACTGTTGAGGACAAGGAAAAGTCACGGCATCAGAGAAAGCTTAGTATCACAGCAAAGCAAGTTTCTATGGGACACACCAATCAAGGAATCGGAGGTATTGGTGAGAGAAAGAAGTCTGTCCCGCCCCGCCCCCCCTTTGGTCAATACCTCTTTGCTGGAAGTCATGGTTTTCTAGCTCTGGCCAGGGCTTCCATACAAGCGTGGCTTTGTGTGTGTCCTGGGCCAAGGCAGAGGCATCCTGGAGTTCTGGGATCTCTGCTTGGAATCTTAAGCCAATGTTGATACGCCTTCAGTGACAAGAAGGAAAACAACAATGTGATCTTTAGTTTGATGACCTAGTTGTCAGGAACTTGGGAAAGGAGCACCAGTCCCTTCAGCAGTAAGAACATAAGGGCATTTCCTAAGGGTGTGACCCCAAGATTCTAAGCATGACCTTTTCACCGGGGTAAGGAGCAGCTTCCAGATTAGGGAAAGTGTGGGGAGAGCTGCTGAGTGGAAGAAATGGATAGTCTGCCTAAGGTTTTATAATTCCCTGTAACTGAGAAAAGAAAGGGTGGCTAATTCCAAGAGCACATGTGCCCAGAAGAAGGCGAAAGCACCATTTTATTAGGAAAAATGGACAAAGTGCTTACTTTATATTTTTATCCACCTGAGCCTCACAAAAACCTGGGCAACTATACCTATATAATAGATGAACCAACTAAAACCTGGGCAAATTAATGTAATCAAGATAAAACAAGAATATGGTGTTGGAGTGGAGGCTAAACTCAGGTTTTTTTATTCCTTACTCAAATATACTCATCAGGCTACCAAATGACCTGTTCATGAAAACAGGCCACTTTCCCCTTCTGTGATCTTCCCCTACTGCCCCCCTCTAAGCTCATTTTGAGGTCTGCCAAAAATCTTCAGGAAGGGAAAGGTTGAGGGCATTTGGAAAATAGTTGAGAGAAGTAAACATCCCAAGAGAGATGGCATAACATCACTAAAAGTGTGAAACAGGACCATGAGTTATGAATGGGGACCTAGATCCTCACACTTTTACTACGAATTTAGTCATAAATACTCTGAAACAATAGTACTCAAGAAATGCTATGACCCTATGGAGCACAGTTCTGCTCTGACATACAGTCGCCAGGAGTCGAAATTATTAGCAGCAACTGGTTACTGGTTACGATTTCTACAACTTCTTCTGCAGGGGCCACTCTGACCCCAGCAAACACTAAACGTAGTTCTCAAAATTTCTGATCCCATTTCTCAGCTGGGGCTTCTGTTCTATAGAATATTTGGTTTTTCCTTACGGTTCAACATCCACGGTCTGTTCTCCAGGACCTGGGGTGACTGTCATGTTGCTGCCATCGATGCTATCTGAAACATAAACCAAAGGCCACTGGTCAACATGGAAGGGGCACAAAGATCAATCACTCCCTGATGAAAATATGAAAGTAATCGAGCAGTAACTTTAATAGTTCTGAGGAGATTCCCATCGTAGTTACCCAGGAGGTGGGTGGAATGTGCTGCTATTTGTTGTGGTATTTTTTGTTGTTAGGGGCCTTTAATTCCAATGGTTCTCACAGTGAACCCTGCCTTATCCTGTATTGATGAAGCTAAGTGTTATAAGGATCCTTCAATTCTTACCTAGGGTAAAAAGAAGTCAGCTGCTTTTCTCTATTCTGCTAAATTGTACTGTTTCTATGAAACTGTTCTTGCTCCAGAAACACATCCTGGCGATGGATCTCTCCACACTTGCTCGTTATCCATCAAACTAAGATGTAGAGACTTGAGCTTACATCTGTCACCTAATCCTATGCGGTGGTGGTGTGACTGTAGAGTCAGAACTGACCCATGGCTGACCCTGCACTGGGTTTTCAGAGGCAGTTAAATCACATGGGAGGAGACTGCCCATCCTTCTCCCGCGGAGCAGCTGGTGGATTTGAACCTCGAGCCTTCAGGATTGCAGCGCTGCTTCTTAGCACTAGGCAACTAGAGCTCTCTAATTCTGTGTGTACTGTATTTATTGTTTTTATGTATTTATTCCTGGCATCTCACCCAATCAAGTGTGAGACCATCATTGGAACTGGAGGGGTTTCTCTCCCCAGTCAGCCTAAGCGCCTCCCGAGGCTATGAAATACATTCCCTTCTACTTTATACATTTGTGGATAAACAAATACAAGTTGAAAGTTGACAGAGACCCTCCTGTCTCCAGAAACACAAAACCCACCCTCCAGGCATCGGCTGGGATTTAAAATGACCTTCTACCGGTTTCTGAGGAGAAAAACCTCCTCTGTGGGAGGAGTTTGCCTAGGGGCTGCTGGAGGATTTGAACTGCTGACCTTTCGGTTAGCAGCTAGAGGAGTTACGCACTAAGCTTCTGGGCTCAACTGTACCCAACACAGACAGGGAGAGGCGGTTAAAAATCCTAGTTTGCTGGACGAGGGACTCACTGGAGCGGCAGAGCAGCACGCGCGGCGTGGGTGTGAGGGGCGTGAGGGGCAACTGCGGGTGGGCACCGGGGCCATGGCCGATGAGCACGTTGCTGAACAGCCCCGAGCCCTGGCGGACGGGGCTCAGCATGGGCGGGGGCGTGTAGGGGGGCAGCTCGTGGGTGGGGTCCAGCAGCAGGTGGTCGCCCAGGATGCGCGGGGAGCGCAGCTGGCTCTGGTACAAGGTGGCGCCGGAGTAGGAGGTGGCGGGGTTCAAGGTGTAGGAGGGCGGCGGCGGGATGAAGAGTGGCTCTGGCCGGTGCCGGAACTTCTTCTTCTCCTGCACCGGTTTGAGGGGTTCCTCAGCTTTGGCCACGCCCGGCTGGTGCTTCCTGGGAATTTCCTTTAAAAAACCCAAAAAAATGGGGAAGAGTTTCATTCAGATACTTGGGTCTGCAGACGGGCCGTTTCTACAGTCTCTGGGAAGGGGGACCCTCCTCCCCTCAGCATCACAGCCCCCAACCCCGCATCCTCTGCCTTAGGTCGTCATCACACCCACTGCAACCAGGCACATTCTAGTGACTTGACGACAGAGAAACTTTGGTTTGGGAGACTTGGGCGTTCTAATGTCTGGGTAGATCTGGGGGTAGTGGATGGGCAAAAAGGAATTAAAATTCTTGTATTATTTATCACTACTATTTCCCATCTGTTGAGTGGGCTCTTCACATCCCCGGACCCCTCTAGGGACAGACAACACATGCACTGAGGAGGGGACACAATTATGGGCTAGTGGCTGCTAAGGCAGGAAGAGGGGTTTCTGGCTCAGCCAAGGCTCTTGGGGCCACAGTCCCCACACCAGGGTTCTCCTGTTATGCAACTTTCAGGCCAGGGAAGAGCCATGGTAGATGTGTGTAAAGTTCATCTACTGGGCTCCCCTGAAAGTTAAACTGGTTAACCTCCCCCTTGACCAGCCCTCGCTGTGGCTCCCACCACTGGTGATTCATTTGCAGCAAGCCCTTCTCCTAGGCTGGCTTCCTGTCAGCACTGTTAGTTTTATTTTTTTTGGCAGCCGGAACCAAGCATAGTCTGGAAGGAAGATCTACCACATAGATACATATATATTAATAAGTAAACATATGCACGTAAATAGAGCAGGGCATGCCAAAGCCAAACAGAGACAGACTTGGTTGTGAAGCATGAGCACAGAGAACTCCAGAGCCCGGCAAGGCCGGGAGAGGTGATGGTGAGGTTGGGAGGCAGCCGGGATCCCTGAAGAGAGGTTTCTAGGAAGTCTGGGGTCCCCTCTCAGGCTCTGCAGACCAGTCACGGCTGGAGTTGCTAGCAACGCCTGAGCCCAAGGTGCTGCCCTAGCAATGCCTGAGCCCACGAGGTGGGGAAGGGCTGGCCATGGCCATGTGACCAACTGCCTTCAGGCCACATGACCTGCCCCAGTCAGCCCCTCAACCCTGCAATCCTCTCCCTCTGCATTGTCTTCTTTCTGCCTTCATCTTAGGTTCTGTCCCACTCCTGTGCTTTCCTCAACTTCACTGTCTTTTAAAGCATCCTCCCAATGTCAGGGAAGCAGAGAAGGGAGGAAAGGTGCAGGTTCATAACCCCTCCTTTAACCCCAGGCAGCCTTCCTGAGGCTAGATGGCTCCAGCCTGCTTCCTCTCCCCACCAGAGGGCTCTTTAACCATCTGAAGCTGAGAAGGAGAGAGGGGGCTGAGGAGAATAGGGAATCAGGACCCACATGTCAGCCTGTGTGTCCCTTTCCACCTCTCCAAATTCCTGAGTCAGCACCTCAGGTAGCCACCGCCTGCACTGGGATCTAGGCCTCTGATTGTAGGTCCAAAAGATGCCTTTTGGGTTCCCCCTCCTCCAGCCTCCTGTTCTGTCTCTCAGCTAGTCTTCTGATCCTCCAGGCAAGGTTCTGAGCCATGTAGGCCCAAGAAAAAACTCTGAATATTACCTGAGAGGAAGCACTTCCAGTGTCCCACCAGACCAAACTCTTCGGATCTCTAGGGGTGGGGCCAAACTCTGAGGACTTTAAAAAGCTGCCCAGGTGATTGTTAAGCAGAGTGGTGAACAGCCAGATGAGCCCAACCCCCTCAAGGTCATTGGAGGAAACCATGCTCAGTCTCAGCTGCTTCCTCTCCAGCAGGCTGGGTGCGGGGCTGGGATTAGAACTCAGGCAGGGTAGTTTACGTTCATACTTTCTTTATGTTAGGTGAAAGGACTTTACTCACATGTGCTCTGTCTTACCTGTATTATTTTATTGTGGTCTCTCTCTCCACTTAAAACATTTCCCCCTACATTTTACACAAAAGCAAGTTTGTCTCTCTCTTCAAATTATTGCTCTGAACTCCTCTAACGATGGTCTTGTGAGAAAACCAGCTCCACTCTGCACTCCTTTTAGTCACCAGATCATACTCCCACTGGCTGCACCCAGGCTGATGTTTTACATCAGCCCTTGTTTTTCTCTTATTGTCTTGAATAAAATGGGGGGGGGGGGGTTCCATGTGACCGGCAACCTAACTAGGTGCTTATGAACCTCCATATTGTAATTACTGGAGCAAAGACTGGGAGTTCTCCAAGGGTAGCAACAGTACATCTCTCCCACCCACCAAATTATTTCTGGAATAAAGAAGGGAATTGGAGGATGTCACTTCTCCACTCTGCCTGTTTTTAGTACCCCAAATCCTTTCAATTTATTAGACTGCACCCCAAACGTTCTCCACAAGTCTCCCCTTCTGAGGCCTTGATATTACACAGACAAGTAAAAATGATCTTTCTGTTTTCTATCTATCTTTCCCGTATGGTGGCCCAAACCCAATCCTCTTGCCCCCTGGGATCCCAGCGGCCACCCACTCTCTAAGGATAAGGATGGCTCAGTACATCACTTTGTGGGGAAGAGGAAAGGTTTGATATAGCCAACTACATGGGACACAAACTCCCTGGGGCTAGACATGCAGCTCCCCCTCCAGAGAGATGGAAAGACAGTCAGAGGGTGATGGAAAGACATCCCTCTCCGCTTCAGAGCCAAGGTAAGTTGCTTGATCATAAACCCGAGACAGAGAAGAACTTAACAAGAGTGAGAAAACAAATCTCTTTGCTTTCCTGAGATTGGGGGTGAATTTCATCCAGGGCAACTATTTTGAGACTCTTAATAAATTAAATCCTCCAAGGGTATTTAACCAGGTAGAATAGTAAAAATCTCAAATATGTGATAAGGCTGGGAGGTCTCACTGTGCCAGGGGCTACCACTTTGGTTGTTGAATTCGGGAGATTCTGGAAATGCTGGGAGAGGGGCCAGGCCTTGGGCAACAGCATTTAAGATCTAAGGCCAGAATGACGTCAATATTTTAAAAACTTGTGTGAGTGTATCAGGTTCTCCCAGCTGAATTCATTTACTTGAACCCAGGAGCACTGTCTGGTCTCAGAACTGAACTCAGATAGTTAGCCTAGTAAAGTAACAGGTGGTCAAGTGGGCAGCACTGACAAGGCTGGGACTCCCAAGGGGCCAAGCCATGTTGCAGGGCAGGCCTGTGGCTTCATAAAAGCTGTCATCTCCAAGAAAGCAAAGGGACCTCCCCACCCGAGGCAGGTGGGGCAGAGCAGCAACTCACAGCAGGCGTGCAGGGGGTAGCCCCTTGGGGTGAGTGTGGGGGAGAGAGGGTCATCCTCACGAGCACAGGCATCTCGTCGTCCGACACCGAGCTGGCTGGCTTGTCTCTGGCCGCGGGGGCAGCAGCGACGCTGTTGGCGAACCCCTGTGAGCTGGGCTTGGGCGGGAGAAGCTTGACAGGGACAGACACGGGCATGACCATAGGCGAGAGGCTATCTGCCTCGGGAGGGAGCTGTGGCTGCGGCGGAGGCGGCAGTGGAGGCTGAGGCTGGGGCTGAGGCTGAGGCTGAGGCTGAGGCTGAGGCTGAGGCTGAGGCTGAGGCTGGGGCTGAGGCTGGGGCTGAGGCGGCGGGGCCTTCTCTCCTTCCTCCTACATAGACAATAAAGGCTTTGATCCTGGGCTGCAGAGCAGCTACAGACTTTGCTGTTCCCAAAAGGTTCCAGGACATCAGGGGCAGGGGACAGAGAACTCCTGCGGGGAGCTTTACTTCCTGCAAACCCTGAGTCCCTCAGCCCAAGTGAAACCAGATGGCAGTGGACAGGGACATGCATGCTACTTTCACAAAGCCCTGACCACATAGTGCTTGTGTATTAGAAAAGTAGTTTTGGCTGTTGTTACTTTTAAAGAAAAGGTCATGGACTTGTAATCAGGCCCCTCGAAATGTATGAGCTTGTGCAAACAAAACACCAGTTGCTGTTGAGGTGACTTAAACTTCATGCAACCCTATGTGTGTCAGAGTAGAACTGTTTCACAGGCTTTTCAACAGCTAGATTTCTGGAAGTGGATCAACAGGAATTTCTTCTGAGGTGCTCCTGGATGGACTAGAACCTTTACCATCTAGTTAGTAACGGGGTGTGGTAACTGTTAGACCCTGCATGTATAATCTTTGGATTCTGGGAGCTTCAGTGATGCACCTCTTAGATGGAAGTTAGCAATCTAGCCAATATTTTATTCAGGTAAAGGAATAATTTTTAAAATGCAAAGCAGCTTAATTTCAAACAATGAATACAAAACTCTCTTATTTGGTATGGCCAAGAGATGCAGTAATTTCCAAATAACAGTTTTGGTTAATAGAGAATTCTTTTATAGATTTTAATTACGATCAATTAATTCTAAAAAAAGAATGCCAAGGAAATTCTTTAGCTTTTAAAATGTCACTGATAATCTCTGTGGAAATAGTATCCTGGTATTTCATCTTTCTGGGAGAATCCAGGAAATTTTAAGGCAGATGGATCTTTGGGTATTAGAGGCCATTATGAGTATGTAAGTAAATAGAATGTTCTGGATACATTAGCTTTCCCTGCAAACTGATCACTCATCCTGAAGACCCAAGTGACTTTGGCCTTGGGTATGTCAAGTGGCAGAAGTTAAAAGTAATATGGCAGCTACAGTTTTCCTTTGCGGTCTTCTCCCAGCAGGTGGGACCCCCTCAAAGTTTCAAGCATCTCTGTGTTGAACCATTGTTTGGAAAGCCAGAGGAAGTGGGGGATGTCAGAGTTGGCCAAATACCAAGGCAGAGTCATGTGTTCCCTCCAGGAGGACAGTGCCTCCCCAGGCCCCCTGATGGGACCCACATTAACCTCTATCTGGATGGCAGCAAAGCAAAGCAAGCAGCACACAGCTTGGGAAGGACTAGGGGTAGGGGTGGCTCCTGGCTAACCTGTTTGAGACTGGGGGAGGCCCTCATTCCGCCATGGGACCGCATGTGGCCATTCAGGGCAGGTAGGCTCTTGAACTCCTTCAAGCAGATGGAGCACGTGAGCTTGTTCTTGGCATCAAACTGCTCTCCAAACGCTCCTTTGGGTTGGCCACTGCTCAAAGCAGAGCCAGTGAGAGAGATCGAGAAGAGAAACACATAGATTGAAGAAGGAGAAATAGTGACTTATTGACAAGACTTCACACCAACCAAGAAGTTTTATTCATACAATGCTCCCAAGCCCATGGTCATACTTGAATACCCCCCACCAACATATGTCAGAGAAATAATCTCAATTTACAGATGAAAAACTGAGGCAAAAGTGGGAAACTCAACCCAATCCAACATCCGTGAGACAAAAGTGACTCACAGCTGACCTTCCTTACAGGTTTTTAGAGGCTGTAAACGGCATAGTAGAAAACTATCTTTTTCCCATGGAGCACCTGGTGGACTCAAACTGTGTGCCTTTTTGGGTTGGCAGTGCAATCAGGCCACCAGAGCTCCCTCAGAAGAGGGAAGGTTTGCCTAAAGTCATGGATGAGTTGAACAATTCATCCTCTTGCATGGTAGACCTTCAGGCTGAACTGTTCCCATTTTTGACCCTGCAGGATCAGTTCAGTCCATCTCCCCCAGAAGGCCTCCCTCAGAGATCCTTGTGTGAACGCTCTGATGCTCAGCCTCCACACTGCAGACTGTGTCAGCCATCTCTCAGGTTCTAGCTAAATCTTTAATTATTTCATGTGCTCATGGCAGGAGCAGGACACGCCAGTCTGTGTAACTCACGGTTGCATTTGCAAAGGCTAGATCTAGAGGTGGCACCCAGTAAATATTCACTGACTGAAGGGACAATGGACAGACCACGAATCAGCCCCAGATTGTAATTACTGAATCTTAGAATCTCTGAGCCTCAGTTTTCTCATCTATACAATAATCCTAATAATAACAGTTAACAATTACTGAACATTTCTGATGCTATAATTGTTATGTGCCGTCGAGTCACTTGTGATTCATAGTGACCCTGTTTACAACAGCTCCGAACTCTGCTCTATCCTGAGCCAACCTTAATGTCCCTGATACACCTACACCCCTCATTTCCCCAGTCACCGAGTCAATCCATCTCATTGAGGGTCTTCCTCTCTTGCACTGTCCTTCAACCCTCCCAAGCTTGAAGTCCCTCTCCAAAGACTGGTAATCATACTCACTGAGTTACTGTACTACACATTATACATAGTGCCAACTTCAGAGTCTAAGTACATAAACACAGTACCTGCTAGTATTATTCCTATCACTTTGACAAACGGCCTTGAACTTGGAACTGAAGTGAGAGAAACAACCCAGAAAGAACCCCCCCCCCCAACCAGGCTCCTTAAATACCAACCAGCCTCCAATGGCCCATCCTACCTTGACTCAGGGGACCCTGGTTGGGCTCTGCCATCAGGTAGGTGCATCTAATTTGGAACCAAGCAGAAACCGAGAAAAAAAAAAAGGAATAAAAAATTGTACACATTTCCCAAGAGAAGTAGACTTGAACTGAGGGGGTGGGGGGACACCAGTAATTCTCTCACTCTTCTATACCCCAGGTCCTCTTTCCCTGGCTTGCTCCCTGGCTCAAGGGACCATAGTCGCATTCCTGGCACTGCCGCCAGCTACAAGGTCACCAGTGAGCTGTACCCTTCTCATTCCTTTCTGCTCTCCCCATCCACCCACTCTGTGACGGGTTCCACCCCCACAGGGACACAGAAGTGAGTTGAGTGACACTGCACCAGCCAGGGGACCTACTGGAATTCCTGCTCAGGCCTGGCTATCTCATTCTTTAGTTCACAAGGGCTCTCAGTTACTATCAGGCCTAAGCCCCAGACAAACAAGGGCTGCGGAGCAGCTTACCTTTGGCCTCACACTTCACCAGAGCCCTGCCTCCACCCAACCAGGTCCTACTCCAGGTTTCTTGTTCCCACACCCTTCTGTGACATCAGTGTAGCACTTGGAACAGGCTAAAAAGCATGCAACAGTGCCCAGTACACAGAATGCTATTTTGTGGTCATATGCATTTGTGAAACAATCACAAAGGTGGTAACTGTGGTGCACAGACTGCATCTGGCCTGCAGACTTATTTGGTGGTGGTTACTGCTGTGTACTGTTGGGTCAGAACTAAACCCATAGCTGACCCTTCAGTGGGTTTTCAGAGGCAGGAAACCATATTGGGAAGAGACTGGTTATTTTTCTCCAGCAGAGCAACTTGTAGATTTGAACCATGCACTTTTGAGTTGGCACTACAATTCCTCACGACCAAGCCAGAGTTCTTTTAAAAAGCCCTGAACAAGGACAGCACTTGCTGGTGCAGCTGCTCCCTGGTATACAGTTGCCACCACCCCCTATTTTCTCCCAGCAGATCATTTCACTATTCACTTGAACTGCCTGGATCCTGAAGGCAGCTAACGGTTTCATCTCTGTCATTCTCTGCGATGGCCCCCTTTGGAGATTTACAATGTACATTACCACACAGAAGACATGAAAGCACCTACCCCTCCCGCCCTGTAATACACTGGACGACCATTTTCAGAGGGAATACTGTGCACATTCAGATCTCATCAAAGGAGACCCCCTCCTCACTCTGAGTCCCCAAGCACTTGACTCAAGGTCTTGATCAGTACATGAATCATTCAGGGGAAAACTACAGTATGTGGGCCATCTCCTTAGTGAGACTATAAACTCTACGGGCAAAGGACTGAGTCATAATTGGTTTCATATTTCAAGTGCTTATGGTAAACAGCATCTGGCACATGGAGGTTAATGTCCATGAAATGAATAAAGAACCAAAGGATTGAAGGGGTTGGAGAGAGGATCTGGCACTGCATATACCCAGCCCCCGTGATCCTGAAGCACACTGAGACATCAGGAAAAACTCCCACTGGGACAATACCTGGGGCCACACGGCACTGGGGGACAGCTGCTGGTGCTGTGGTCCCATACTGTTGAGGTGGATCCCACTGGGGGACAGGAGCGGCCTATGGGGGAGGGCATTGCTGACCCGGTGCAGGTCTGAGCTTGTTGGCTCCCCAATTCCTATGTCAGTAGGCCCCAGGTCCCCATGGGAGCTCAGCAGGGCCTGGGCCTGCCTGTCGCTGGGATACGTCTTCGGCTGACTGTCCTCACGCTGCTGGTGCTGAGGCAGGTGGCTCTGCTGGTAGAGGGGGTGACTGTAGGGCTGCTGGGGCTCCTGGTAGTAGTATTGGGGCATGGAGCCCAGCTGAATCAGCTGGACTGCATGAGCCTGCTCCGGGGGATACTGGTGGGGGTCCCTGTGGTAAGGGGGCTGCAGGTGCATTTGCTGTGGCTGCGGCTGCTCTTGCAAGTGCTGCATCATGGGAGGGGACTGGTAATACTGAGGTATCTGCATTGCACTCTGCCGCTGCTGCAGCTGTTGCTGCGGCTGCTGCTGAGGCTCCGATGTGCGAATCTGCTGCTGCTGCTGTATCTCTTGCATGGAGATGCGCTGTTGCCCAGCTTGCTGCTGCTGCTGCTGCGGGTAATACTGGTGCTGCTGCATCTGCTGCATGTGCTGTGACAGCATCTGAGGGCCCTGCAGTGGCTGTGCCCCCTGCACTGGCATCTGAGTCAGTGGCTGCTGGTAGTCATAATAAAGGTGCCCTTGGGCTGGGTGCTGCCCAACCTGAAGAGCTGGTTTGGACAGCCCACCAGTGAAGCCAGGGTGAGGCGGCTGGGCCACCTGCTGGTAGCGGGAAGGAATAACCGGTGTCGGGGGCTCCAGGGGCTTCTGAGACAGCAGCTGGCGGAGGGCACTGTCCGGCGTCCCGTCCATGACTGCCGACTGGGCGTGCAGCACCTGGGCCATGTTGTTGACCTGAATTCGCAGGTTTTGATTGGCAAACACCTGGGTGAAAGAGTCCAGCTTGTGCAGGACGCCACTGGTGAGCTTCTGGGTCCGGATCTCGCTGGCCTGAGAGTAGGTGTACTGGTAGCCATCGGCAGGCTCAGCCTGGGTCGGTGCCCCCCACATCATATTGGAGTTGGCCAGGTTGCCACGTAGCTGGACGTGGTTTCCAGGCCCCGAATGACCTCCCCACCCTCCCTGCCTTGAGGTATCCACTTGGCCAAGGTTTTTGGAACCAACAGATAAGCCCAGGCTGTCTCGAGTGTCTTGAGGGAAGTGAGGGGATATGGGCGAGGCCTGGGGGGCATCCATCCCACCCCCTGTGACTGTATTCCCATAGTTGTGGTTCAGGCCACTGTGGACGCCGAGCGGGGGCTGTTGGTAGAAGAGGCTGTCACTGCTGTGGGCCACGTGGTTGGTCTTGTACAGCTGCTGATCGCCCATCGTGTCGGCCTTTTCTGTGAAGGTCCAGCCACAAAACCATAAAAAAAGGTAAAACGAAACAAACTACAAAGGATTGAAACCCTGAGAAGCTGAGAGAACGTGTCCACACTACTCCACGGCTGCCATGTCGGTGACGGTGGCTGGAGCCAGATGTCCCTGCTGGCCTGTACCACTCCTGGGCAGAGTGGGGGGCTTTACATCCTTGCCCGGGCTGAGGGAGGGACCGCACACCACCTCGGTCAGGAGATGCTGCTCACACCTGCAAGACAAGAACCAGAGACAGGAAAGGGTTAATCTGGATGTTTTCTATGAGCAATTACACCTTCAGGTCCAGCGACAGGGATCTGTGGGTGGCACAGAGAGTTAAGTGTTTGACTGCAAACCAAAAGGCTGTCAGTTCACAGCTACGCACAGTCACCTCAGAAGACAGACCTGAAGATCAAATGCTAACAAATCTGTCCTTTTCCTGCTACCCTATATGCACTGTTCTACTCTTACACAAGCATGAGGCTTAAAGTTGAGTTGACAGCAACAATCTTTTTTTTCCCATTATAAAGGCAAATGCAAAGTAAAAGACTACAACAGGATGGGAGCTCTGGTGGTCTAGTGGCAAGAAGCTGCACTGCAATCCCAGAGGTACACTGTTCAAGTCCACCAGATGCTCTGCTGGAGAAGGAGGGGCAATCTCCTCCTGTACCAGTCAGATCTGCTTAGATGGTACACACACAAAAAATAATATTTTTTAAAAAGACTACTACAGGAACCCCAGTTTCCTGTACTTCCCATTCTGCAGATCCTGACCCTCAAGTGATTGTAAACTCTCTAACTTTCAAGCCATTGCTCAATGGCTCATTAGCTCATTGATTTGTTAATTCACTGTTTTCCTCATCAATTCAGCCATTCTTTTGAGACTCTGCTATTGAAAACCCAGCACTACTCTAGGACCTATAGGGAGATAGGAAGAAATGTAAGGCATTTACTAATCAATTCAGCTGCTCAACAAATATTTACTGTATGCCTAGCATGCATACAGTATGCTGGAAGTGATTAGATAAGGAAACTGCTCTTGATAAGCTTACAGAAGAGGTGATGTAAGAGGAGTAAGTAAGTGATTACAATACAAGGGCAAAGAAGAACATATAACTAAACGGTAAAAGTAAGACCCATGAGAATTCAGAGCCCTTAGCTGCAGCAGAACAGAAGTGGAGAAAGTTTCAAGGATGAGTGTTGTTCATAGCAACTTGAGAGCCAGGTCCACATAGTCGCCAGCCTCTGTGAGGTCCCTGCTCAGCGGAACAGCTGCCAGAGAGAGCAACTACCTAGCCAGAAGCCTATGCACGACACACAAATTCCATAGTTTAAAACGCAATATTTAAAAAAAAAAAACCAAAAAAACCCCGCAATATTTACTCTTATATAGAATATACACGCAGCAAAGCACACATCAATTCAGCAGTTTCTACATGAACAATTCTGATTACATTCCTTGAATTGTGCAACCATTCTCACGCTTCTATTCTTGGTTGTTCCTCCACCATTAACATAAATTCAGTGCCCCTTCAAGTTCCTATCTAGTCTCTGCTGTTTTAATCTGATCCAATATAAATAATATTTTTTTTAAAGCTCAATGCTCAAAGCAACCATTTCATAATAAGCTAAACTATTGCTTGGTTTTAAAAAGACTTCTGGGGATATTTCTGGTCTAAAGTTTAAAGATTATTTCAGGGTGAAAGTTTCAGTGAATCACCCAACCTTTGTGGGTACAAGAAGTCTGAAGTATATCATAATTTGAAATTAAATTTCTATTTTCTCTTCTTTGATCAAGATTCATCTATAGATTCGTTGATCAAAATGTTCAGTAATGGCGGCCAGGCACCATCCAGGTCTTCTAGTCTCATAGCAAAGGAGGCAGCTGCTCATGAAGGCCATCAACCATATATTTCAGCACACATTTCACCAAAGAAGACATTCAAAAGGACACCACAGATATGTAAGGATGGTTAATGTCGTCAGTCATTAGAGATCTGCAAATTAAAACCACAATGGAATATTATTTCACTCCCACTAGAATGTTGTTGTTGTAAGGTGACATCGAGCTGAGTACAACTCATAGCGACCCTATGCACAGCCAACCTAAAACCTGCCCCATCCTTTGCCTTTCTCATCATCTCTGACACACTAGAGCCCTATGTGGAAGTTAACAAGTCAATCTATCTCACTGGGGGTCTTCCACTCCTTCACTAACCCTCCATCTTTCCAAGTATGATGTGTCTTTCCAAGGAACAGCCTCTCTTAACTACATGTCCAAGTATGTGTGAAAAACTGCCATCTTTGTTTCCAGGGAGCACTCTGGCTGGACCTTTCCCAAGACATTTTTTTGTTCTTTTGGCCATCTTTGGGATGTAGTTTTATGGGTATGCAATGCTCCTCTCCAACATCACAGGTCAAAAACATCAATTCTTCTATCATCCTTGTTCACTGTCCAGCTCTCTGATGCATAGCAGGTGATTAAGAAGACCATGGACTGAATCAGGCACACCTTGGTCTTCAAAGTGACATCATTCCTCTGCACCACTTTGGAGAGGTCCCTGAAAGCAGTCTTAAGCAATTCAATATGTTCCTGATTTCCTGACTGCTGGTACCAAGGATGCTGATTGGTGATCCAAGCAAGATGTAATAATTTATAGCTTCAATCCTTTCTCTATCTATCATAATGTTAACCATTGGTCCTGTGATAAGGATCTCTGTTTTCATGATGTTGAGATGTAATCCATACCTAAGGTTGTAGTCCTTGATCTTCTGCAGCAAGCATTTCATATCCTTCTCAGCAAGCAAAGTTGTGTCATCTGCATAACGCAGGTTGTTGATGAGTCTCCAATCTTGATGTCACATTCTTCTTCATAGAGTCTGAGTTCATAAATTATTTGCTCAGCATACAGACTGAATAGGTAGGAGAAAGGAAGCAACCCTGATATACACTCTTTCTGATTTTAAACCATGCTCTTGTTCCCTTGCTCTTCAGACAACAGCTTCTTGGTCTAGGTATAGATTTTGTATGAACACAACCAAGTGTCGTGGGATTCCCAGTCTTCTTAACATTAGCCATAATTTTTTATGATCCATACAATCAAATGCCTTTGCACAGTCAATTAAAAAAAACCAAACTCTGATTTCAGCCACCGGAATGGCGGGAAAAAAAAAAACCCTAAAAAAAAAATAAATGTTTGCAAGGATGTGGAGAATCTGGAACCTTTACTCACTGTTCTGGGAATATAAAATATAAACAGTGTTGTGGTTCCTAAAACCCCCCTAAAACCAGAAGACCACATTTTTGTAATTAGGTACCATCCAGCTGGTGCCAACTCACAGAGCCTTATGCACAACAGAACAAACTCCTGCCACATCCTTCACCATCTTCAAATCTTTGCATATGTGACTCTATTTCCAGGTGTACAACTGCTGAAAGGAGAGTGTCAAACAAAGACTTATTTGTTAAAGCTCAGAACTGCCAAAGGATGGGAACAACCTAAACAGCCATCAACAAATAAAAAAAATTAACAAATAGGGTTAAGATGGAATACTGCTCAGAAGGAGAAATTAAGTCTTGAAATTAAGCTACAATATGGTTGTGACTAGAAGACATTCTGTTGAGTGAAATAAGTTAATCACAGAAGAGAAAATACTGTATTACTTCACAGACAAGGTGAACATATAGAGAATAAAGTTTATCAGTGGTTACTGGAGGGTAAGGGAGATATGTGGTGATGTAAATATCACACTGATTAAGGGTAGAGTCATACAACTGATTATTATAATTACTGTCAATAAGTTGTACATTCGTAAAGAAAAGAGTTGAATTGGCAACTGTGTGATAGACATATTTGCAACAATGATAGAAAAATATTATGTGTAACCAAAAATTTCATGGGCTTTGGTTTCTCACTTTGGAGGTTTCGGGGTTATGGTTTCACAGGACATCCCAGTTAACCGGCCTAAATAACATGGCTAGTGCTTCTGTTCAACCTCCTAGTTTGTTTTGGAATGCCGCATAATGTCTGGGTCATCAACGCTTGCCAAGTGGCCATCTAAGGCCTAGAAATGGTCTCTATTTGATGAGAGCAACAAAAGAAGAAGGAGGGTCCAAAGGAGGAGGAGGATATGGAATGTGTGGCTAATTACCTCCATGAACAACTGTTCTTTTGCCATGAGCCCAGATCCCTCGTTAGAAACAGGAAATTCAGAGAGACTGCACTAGTTCCTCTTTGAGTCCACATGGGCTTGAAACTGGGGAATCTGTCAGATCCTTCCAAATACGACAAATGGACTGTAAGTTTTAGTCTCAGTGTGCAGCGTCTTAACTTCCATAGAAACTCAAGAAAAGGGATGGTGATGCAGGGACTGGCTCTCCTCTTCCATCTGCTCACAATTATTATCTTCTTTACAAAGCAAAGCTTTCACCCATTCCACCGCAAACCATAAAAGGGCTCACTGCCCCAAGAAGAAAGCTTCCCAGCTCCCCGAAATCATTGAGACTGAGAAAATGGAGAAAGAGCATCTCTAACAAATGAATAATAGATCTGTTTGCAAGATAGGTGGTTTCTAGTTCTTTTCCACAGGAAGACCTACTTGAAATAACTGAAGTGTTCTGATGCACTAGTCCATGAGAGCTGCGCTGATGACCCAAAGGCTGACCCTCTGTGCCAGTTTGAATCTACCAGCCACTCGATAGAAGAAAGATGGACAACGTCCTCAAGCCTAATCTATAGCTTAGAAACCTAGGGGCAGGGTCAGCTATGAGTCAGAACTGACTCGACAGCAGTGAGAGAGAAGAGGAAAAGGGGTGGGAGAAATAATTATAATATTCTGAATGCTAGTTGATGATGTGTTTTATTTTTTTTAAAAAAACTATAACTCAAGCAGATCAAAGGACAGAGTAGTTCTGCTTCAACAAAATATTATTTACTAGTTCATGTGGATGAAGGCTTGCAATGTGATTTTTA